TTCTGAGGCTATTAATACATCCTAAGAACGTCTTAAATCATTCTTTGAAGATTTTGTACTGTCTAAGTTGTAGTGAAGTAACCTAAGATCAACATAAGATTCTTTCATAATCTTATATTCCTTTTAACATTACTCAACTATTATGTGAAATACTTATGTGGAATACAAGTTTATAATAAAATATTTCTTATACATTTTGTGTATCCTCAAAATCAAAGGCACTTCAATGTCACTTATAACTACAGATCACTCATAACTGAAAAAAGCTAACTGAACACAGGGTCTCCAAACTCCCATGTATTTTATGTGACCAACATTAGTAGCGCCCTCTGAGATGAGGTCCCCTTGAATTAGAACTAAATATTGGTTAAAACCAATTCTAATCGAATATTCGGCTCTCCGTAACCCTTCCACTATTACAAAGTTAGCTGAGTACTGCTGAACTGATGCAATAAGTTAAGCCCGGTCTACAATTGCATAAACGTAGTTGTAGAATTGTAGGAGTAGACGTATCAGTGAGTGTTGTACAACAGATTAATCTACAACAAAGTAAGATATACCGTAACTGAAGTGAACGACAACCAATCAGAGAGTAGTTCTGCATTTTGATAAAAATGGTGCTATTGAATTTGGCCGTGTACTAGTGCACTTAGTGTATACTCAGTGCTAAATAAACATCGTATACTGCCGATGCTTTATTTGTGTACCATGATAAAGAAAAAGAACATTTTGTTATTGCTACTATTACTATTTTTACAACATGTGTCTGTACATTTAATGTATATTTATTTAACAATAAAAACACAAGTATTACGAAGATGGTGGGTCCGCCCTTTAAATCAGCAACGGGAAGAAGTTGGATTTCACACAAACCTTGTATCTGAAATATATTCGTCAGATCATGAAGAATTTTTTGCATATTTTCGCATGTGGCCTGAACAATTTAATATTCTCTTAACAATAGTGCATCCCCTTCTTTTAAAAAGAAGCCGGAGACGGTCACTTTCTGTGAAATTAAAACTTGCAGCCACTCTTGCGTAAGTTGCTATGTCCAAATTAATATATGTTGAAAAGCACTGTTTGTTTTTTACAAGATGTTATTTCAAAGAAGAAAAACATTTCCACAAATTTCTCGCACATGGAGATAGTATCAGGTCGAAGGCATGGGAGTTTCGAATTGGTAAATCTACTATGTACAAAGTCGTACCTGAAGTATGTGAAGCAATTTGGACAGCGCTGCAACCCTTATATTTGCCTAAACCTTCTTGTGAGTTATGGACACAAGTAGCTGAAAAATTCTGCTCGAAATGGCAATTCCCAAACTGTATCGGGGCTATTGATGGACGCCACATGCAAATTCAAGCTCCTTCCAAATCTGGTTCTGAATTCTTTAATTATAAGAAATATTTTAGCCTTGTACTGATGGCTTCTTGTGACGCATCATATAAATTTACATGGGTTGATATAGGACAGTATGGTAAGCATATGTTTTAATCTTTTTGTGGCTTCTTATATTTTAAGAGTTTTGGAACATCTTTAAATTAAACTTGTGGAATATTTTTCATGAATCTCTTATTTTAGATTTACATTCATATTTATATTTTTCATGGAAATATGTGTTTCACGTTTGTGACATCTGTTAACAAAATATAACGTATTATGTTATTAAATTATAGGTTCCATCAGTGATGGAGGAATATGGAACAATTCAGAATTGGCCAATGCTTTAGAACATGGGGAAGCACAATTGCCTCCTCCAAAAATGCTGCCTGAAAGTCATGTACAATTTCCTTATATATTTGTAGCGGATGAGGCATTTCCCCTCAAATCTTACCTTATGAGACCGTATCCGCGTGCTAGTTTGAAAGACAAATAGCGAATCTTTAATTACAGACTTTCCCGCGCGCGAGTCATAGAAAACACTTTCGGTATTCTTGTATCTCGATGGCGCATTCTCAGAAAGTGTATATGCAACAATCCTCACAATGCAGAAGCCATTATTAAAGCATTAGTATGCTTGCACAATTTTTTAATGATAGACGAATCTAAGGAAATGCTTCAGTATCCTCACTATTGTTCCTCTACTTATGTAGACTATGAAGACGAAGATGGGAATGTAATTCCTAGAAGTTGGTGGACTGAGAACGAAGGAGGACTGCAAAAACTCGGACGAGTCGGTTCCAATAATCCTGCTAAAACAACTGCTTAGCTCCGGAATATACTTTGTAACTATTTTGTATCAGAAGCTGGTGAGGAAAGTGCCCCTTGGCAGTATGCACGAGCGTTCCGTGGTGCTTTTATAAATCTCCCATAGTTTAAATGTTTTGTTTTTTAATTATAAAGTTTTTTTTATTATACGTGCAATTGTATTATTGTGCAAAATACGTGCAAAATATATTATTGTAATACAAATATATAACAATAATATGTAACAAAATATATTTTATTGTTGTAATAAAAATACTTCTTATACAAAGTATATACTTCTTAGACATAAACATTACATTTTGAAACAGGAACATCTTTTTAAATAATCTGTTTAAATTTCTAAAACAAAAACATCTTATTAATATACTTATTAAAATATTATATTAGGTGAAGTAAAAAGTTCTGAGCGTTTTTTCGCTTTATTTCGACGATGAAATTAACATAGTTAGGATTATTCGATTTCGATCAAATATGCGCCGTTTTGTTCGATAACTTTTGTCCATTTTGAAGGCAATTTCATAATTCCGCGATTAAAGAAGTCCTCGTCCCTATTGGTAAAAAAAACTTGACCAGCTCATTTTCACAAGCCTCTCTTGAGGCCAGTTTTGTACCATCAAGAAAATTTTGCAAATGCTTGAAAAGGTGATAATCGCTTGGTGCCAAGTCTGGACTATACGGCGGGTGCAATAGAACCTCCCATCCAAGCTCTCGGAGCTTCTGGCGCGTCGTTAATGATGTGTGCGGCCTGGCGTTGTCTTGATGGAACACAACACTCTTCCTATTGGCCAATTCTGGCCGCTTCTGGTCGATCGCCTGCTTCAATCTGGTCAGTTGTTGACAGTAGAGGTCCGAATTGAGTGTTTGGCCCGATGGGAGCAGCTCATAGTGGATGATTCCTTTCCAATCCCACCAAACACACAGCAAAACCTTCTTGGCCGTTAATCCGGGCTTGGCGATCGTTTGGGCCGGCTCACCGCGATTGGACCACGATCTTTTTCGGCTGTTGTTCTCGTATGTGACCCATTTTTCATCACCAGTCACCATCCGCTTCAAAAATGGGTCGATTTCGTTACGTTTCAGCAAAGAATCGCAGGCATCAATTCGGTCCAAAAGGTTCTTTTGCGTCAATTCGTGTGGCACCCATACATCGAGCTTCTTCTTGAGACCAGCCTTATGCAAATGGTTCCAAACGGTTTTCTGGCTAATCTTCAGTTCCTGGGCAATGGAATAAGTGCTCACATGCCGGTCCGACTCGACGATTTCCATGATTTTATCGACATTTTCGACGATTGGCCTACCAGAGCGTGCCTCATCTTCGACGTCCATATTACCAGAACGGAATCGTTGGAACCACCGCTTTGCTGTTGCATTCGATACTGTATTGGGTCCATAAACAGCACAAATTTTTTTGGCCGCCTGCTCCGCCTTTTCACTTTGGTCGTAGTGGTACTGAAGAATGTATCGAATTTTTTCTTTTTTTACCTCCATTTTGGAACGCTGTAACACACAACTGGCTTGACCAAACACAAAACTGTCACAGAACTTTTTTTGAAGCGTAATGTCAACTTTAAATCGCCGTATAGTATGACCCGATGCGATGTATACATCATGAGATATGGCTTACTAAAGACATCTAGCGGAAAACGCTCAGAACTTTTTACTTCACTATATGTTGGTAAAAATTAAGTAATTAAATGTTGGTATATAATATCGGTAATAAATTACCGATCGTTGGTATTATGTAAATATGCTGGTAAAAATTATGTAAATATATGTTGGTAAAAAAATTAAGTAATTAAATGTTGGTATATAATGTCGGTAATAAATTACCGATCGTCAGTATTATCGGTATTGTGTAATAATATGTTGGTAAAAATTATATGTTAGTAAAAATTATGTTATTAAATGTAATAATATCGGTGAAAAATTACCGACCGTCGGTAATATCGGTATGCCCCCAATTACCGACCGCTGATAACCCCTCCCCTCCCGCGGTGACGTCATACCCCTCGTAACGTCATATCCCCCGCCCGCGGTAGCGCAATCCCCCCGTGACATCATACCCCTCGCCCGCAGTACCCCCCACCGCATACCCCTCCGAGGACCTGTTAGAACCGGCCTACCATACCTACTTCCCTCTCCAGTACGAAGAAGAGGGGAAAGACATCAATTCCCCACCAGAATATCGCCACTGAGCACCCACATCGACCCGCAATGTTACTCGCCATAGACGGGTGACTTCCGGGGACGGAGTATGGCTCGGCGACAATCCCCAAGCCCGCGTCGCTCTCGCGAAGCCGTTGTAGGAACAAGTTCTGGGTCCCAAGAGCGCGATTAGATTGGCCTGGAGGAGTAAAATTGCCATTACTAACCGGCACCACGCTTCTTTGCAGGCCCTTCCTTACTTTTGCCAGAAGAAGAGCCCTCACTGGGACTCCTCTCAACCCGCGGCATTTCGCTCCCCTTGCCCATGGCCTCCCGCGGAAGCATCTGCCTCTTAGAAGTAGGCTCCGCGATGTGGTCCATGGGCTCGAGTTGAGTTCCATCTCCGCTTAACGCGGGGGGAGGATTTCTCCCCTTCTACGTACCCGAGAGGGCGGGAAGTTTTGGGGGAGATACAGTGGAGGACTTGCGCCTCCATCCACCTTGCTTACCTTACTCCTTTGGCTCTCGGACATGATGGACCGCCAACTCTATGGCTACAGAAACTGCAGGCGTCGCAACACACCGGGCAGTTCACCGGTGCGTCGCACGCGGCAGCCCTGCACGTGGTCCGCCGAACTGCAGGGGTATCAAAGACCACTGCGGTCGACTTTGATCTTACACAAAGCTCTGATGTGGCCCCACTCCAGGCACCTACAGAACTGGAGCAGGCACCATGTCATAGCCTCAACGCGGACGGAGGACCATCCCACTTGGATGCGTCCTCCGTCCACGACCTTCTTAGCGACTGCATGGGGACACTGTAGCCATAGCGTCTCCATACGGTCGCTGCCAGATCTTATCGACCCGGCCTTGACCTCCCTGGGCCCGCAACCTCCGGTGGCGGCCACCGCGGAAACAACGTCCCCCACGGCGATCGAATCGTCGAGCTCGCGGACCCCGATGTCGGCCCTCTTCGCCGGGCGCGCAATCTGCACGTCCTGTTTTTTGGCAAAGAGGGCTGACATTTTCGTTGCCAAGGCATCAGCCCTGGAGTATTCCTCGGGACAGGAGATCTCTAGCACCAGAGCGCCGGTGGCTGTTTTTTTGGTGCGGATTTCTCCGATCCCAATCTCCGCCATGTCAAATATTGTCCCTCGCCCGCCGCATGACGTCTGCGTAGCTGCCTGTAGGGCAGCTCATGGTCAAAGCAGCAGTGCGAGGGATCTTGGGCAGGACCTTTACCGGCTGCCCGCCCTTGACCTAGGGGACCCAGTACCTTCGCCTTCCCTTTCCCGCTTCCCCGGCCACCGGCTTTTGTTGACGTAGCCTTTGGGGACGGGTTGCGGTGCCTGCGTGGAGTGCCCCTCCCCCTTATTTTCCCTCCATCCCACCACACAGGACCACGAATCGGACCCGGAGGTAGGGGAGGAATCGGGGCCCCTTTCCGCAGGCGCAACAGGTGACCCCCCTCTCCCCCCCCGGGTGTCATCCCGAACGCTCTTCTTCTACTTCTTCTTCCTCTTCTTTCGGCCCTCCCCGGCGGGTTAATCCGCACCGACGGGGGTCAAAGAAGAGAAAGATTTGGGTCAAGAGGATAATTCCGCTGTACGCAGTTTCTTCACCCTCGACCCTTCCAGCCCCCCGTTTGGTATCTTGATCCCGGGGGGCTACTATCCCGGACGCTTGGGAGGCGCCACTCCCATGTGTTCAGGATCTGGGGAAATATGGTCACTTCTAAGGTCTCTAGCTCCCCGAGATCCTCCCTGAACCATCTGGAGACCGGTCTCCGGGAAGAGGGTCCGGTCTCCCGCCCGTGACTTCTGCAGATTTCTACCGCTTCGTAGACGGCGCCTTTTCCCCACCAACCGCCGGCTTTTTCCGGTCGGTGGGTTTTATGCGCCCCTTCGTCGGCAACGAAGAAAACTGCTCCCTGACGCCCACAGCCGGAGACGCAGCCGGGCCCTCTCTATTCGGGGAGACGTCCACTCAATAGGTGAGGCGGTGCGCGTTATCTCTCGCTGCCAGAAAGATATAAGGGACGGATGGGATCGCGCCCTCCGCCACGTACCGGACCGCCTCATCCGCGCACCGCCTTTTTAACTCCTCATCATCTAGAGTGGGCTCTATGAGCTGGCTGCCGATGTTGTCCCGCACCCCAACCCCTCCTTACTGCACCTTCTCCGCCTGCATTCACTCCTCGCTTGAGGAGGAGGAGAGGTGTCGCGTGTTACCCCACCCCCCTCGCCGTCGCCCGCTTCCTCTTATTCTTTCTCCCCCAGGGCTTTCCTAAGAGGAGGTGCGGGACTCCCTCCCTCCTTTTACCATCACTTTCTTCCGTTTTTTCTCCCCCGAGGAGTTTCAGGGGTTTATCATACTTCCCGCTATCGGGCCTGAGGCTTCCATCTGACTAGCCCTCATCTCCTGACAGAGGCGGTCGACTTTGCACCTCAGTAAGCCGTTTTCATTTCTTAAACGACCCACCTTAGTCTCCGTACCTTTTTTTTTAGCCAGGGGAAATGCTTTAGGCATACTCCTCCCCCCGGGGTGGGGGCAACGAGTGAGTGGGACTGACCTACGCGGACGCATACCCACTAAAATCCCTGGCGGGTCTGTCCTCATGCATTACCGGAGGAATACTGGAGACTACTTGCGTATTACTTCCGGAACACCCCATTGCATTGTCCGAGGAACCCTCCCGAACCAGCGGAGATGATCCTCTTCCAGCCGACACTCCTTTACTACAGCGGCGCAGTTGGAGGCAGACCGTGCCGCCTCCCTCTTCAGCCGCATTGGCAGGAGGGTAGCACCCCGTGCACTCCCTCGGCGGCCGATGAGAGGAGGGGGAGGCGCTGTCGCCGCGGGGCAAACTTATTCCTGAGGGCGGGGAAGTTCTCGCCACAGGTTCATAGCAACACGCTCCCCCCCGCCGGTAACCCTGATAGTTGGGTCGCCGCCGACGGCGTCCGCTTAGTGTTAGGCAGACACCGTGGGCCCGGATGTTCCGGAGCCCGTTCCACCGTGGGAATCAATTGGGGAATACCCTGCTTACTCCCAGGATCGTCGGAGGGTTTACAACCTGCTACCTCACCTCCTGTCCCGGGATCGATCACGAGCGAGCCCGGCAACTGATGCACCCGATATTCGGGAGGCGGCCCCTTCTATGGTCAAGGGACCTATGGCGAACTCCCGGCTCCTTCTTGCGACTACGTATGCCGGGCCACCTATCCGGTGGCCCGCATTTATACCGGCCCCCAGGCACACCGCGCAAGACAAACCACTATCGCAGTCCCGCGCTATGTGTTCCGCCCGACCACAGCGGAAGAAGTCTCCGCCCCAATCCACCTGACCGGAGTAGGACGTCCACGTGTGGCCGAGCTTCCAGCACCTACAGCACTGGAGCAGGCGGCAGCCTAGTGCTTCTCTTTTCGATTTGGAGACTGATATTGCAACCTCCAGTGGAAGCCACGCCAAAATAGCCCTCGCGGGTTACGAGACCGCCACTCCAGGCATGACCGCCCTCAACCTTTCGGCGAGAGCGTCCGCCTTTTCCTCTTTTTGGTGGCCGACGATCCCGATGAAGAGGCCATCATCGGCGGATCTCCTCACGAAGGCCGGTGAGTCCTCCATCTCGTCTAGGGGAATTATTCCCCTGGACTTACAAAGGGCCTCCGCGTAGAAGAGATCCCCTCGCACATCCTAATGGCCACAGCCACCGTGTTCAGCGGTTGCGGCACCCTTTTTGCCCTAGAGGGGGCGGCAGCAGGCTCCAGAGGAGGGACCACCTTAGCCGCCGCATCAAGTGCCCGTCGCTCGCTTTCTACCTTCTTGGCCAGGGGTTTAGCCCTGGTTCCCACGAGGGCCGCTGTCAGAGGTTTTTCCTCGGCAGCGCCCCCTTCTTCTTCCTTCTTCTCCTTTTTCCCGTCGCCTCCGTCCCAACCTCGGTGGCCCGGGGCGACGGAAACGGCGACCACTACATTCGGGGATCCACCCCAGCCGGCCCTCTTCCTACGGAAAGCAGCGCCGCCAATGGCGGTCCACCCCGGGAAGGGCGGCCCAGGACACGGTATACTCCCGCGGCAATGAGCAGCCCCTTCTTCTCTGTCCCCAGGAGGTGATCTCTGCCCTAAGACTTCGATTCTTCTCCTGGAGTTCGCTAACTTCCTCCCTGATAGCGACGATCACCTCTTCGAGAGAGACCACGTCTGCCCTCACAGTGATGAGTGCGCCTTGTGCGCGGAGGGTGGCTTTCTGGCCTTCTTTACCTGGGCAGCTCTCGTCTTCCCCGCCACTTTGGCGGCATCGGTCGCCAAGTTGGAGAGGCTCTCGATGCACACCCGCACCTCGTGAAGGTGCAACTTGAAGTCTGAGCGGATTGTGCCGCTCAGATTTCAGGACTTCTCCCTGATCTTCTCGAGTGCGCGAAGTGTTTCCTTCGCTTTCGACACATACTCCAGGGCTTCTTTCATGATATATTCGGCATTGCATAGCTCTCGCTAGTCGTCTTCCCTTGATAGCTGCAGGTCAGTGACCGACAGGTCGTTGCAGGCAGAACCTTCCTCTCTGGGCCCAGGTCGGGACCTCGCCGCTGATGGAGGCGGTGTTTCCGCCCCCCTCTTCGCCGTAGTTGTAGTGGAAACGTTCTCCGCCTCTATTCCGGAAGCATCTCCCTGCGCTCCCTTAGTGGGAGCACCTCCTTTGTCCTTCCTCTCTCCCTGTTAACCCTTTTTTCAACTCATCTTTGTTTTATCCGCCCAGATGTCACGGCTCCGGCTGCTGGTGTATCTCCGGCTGCTGGCGGCTTGACTAGGGGGCGGGGCTGCGGGAGGGTCGGCGCACCTACGGGGACTCCAGGAGAAGGGACCACTTATAGATGGTCCCTCCTGTCCCTGGCGCGACATTCCTCTATGCCCCGCTGGTGTGCGGGGCGAGGGAGGGCCCTGCGTCATCTTCTCCGACCCGGCTCTCTCTCTCCGTCCTGTAGCGCTTCGCCTGGGCGGTGGCGCTCGTCCTCCTCCTTCCGCGATACGACTTTGTAGTAACAGCAGATCAGCCTTCAGCACTCCCCAACATGGCCCTAACGAGGGCCGGGAAGCTGAGGTCCGCTCTCGGTCACAAGGACGCGGCGCTGTCGCTCCCACAAAGGACATCTCTCGAAGTTGTGCTGCACCGAATCCACCGCGGCCTCGCAGTGGTGGCAGCGAGCAGTGTGCTCCTTCCCGATTCGGTGCAGATATTCATCGAAACATCCATGTCCGGTGAGCATCTACGTTGTCTGGAATAACAACTCCCTGTGGGCCCTGTTTACCTACTTCGGTAGACAGGGTCGGATGGCCTCGGCGACCCTACATCCTGATCGTCGCGCCCCTCAGGTGGATTTGTCACCTTAACAGGAGGCGCTAACAGGCCAGCTTGCGCAAAATCACGACTGCCCTGGCCGCATGTTCTACTTGCTGCCCCCTTAGGAGCTCCCGCGTACCGCGATATACCTCAAGGTACATCAAAGCAAGGAGCTGTAGGCGGAGGATGCCTGCCAGGGCCATGGCGGCCATATGAGACGTCGTCTGATAGGCGCGAGCCAACCTACAAGCGATAAATCTTTGTGCTTGGCGGGCCAAAGATATAATCTTCTGGTCCGCCCCCATAGCCCGCGCCCACACCGGGGCTTCATAGATGGTCACCGACGACGTTAGCATACAGCCGCCTCGTTTTCCATTTAAGGCTGCCGAAGTTGGGCATGAGGCCACTTAGAACGTTGCCCACTATGTCCAACTTAGGGGTCAGGACCTCGATGTCTCTTCTGAATCCCCATTTGTCATACAGAGTGAGTCCCAAGTACTTAATCTCAGGACTCATCCTCATGTATGAGTCGCCAATCCGGACTAGGGCCTCCGGTGGCTCCCTCTTGGATCCATCAAGCACAAACGTGACCTCGGTCCTCAGGAGAGACACCTTGAGGCTCCATCCTCTCGATGGAGCCACTTTGTCCGCGGCGAGCTGCTCATTTGCCAGGGCGTCTCTCTAGCTCCTTCCTCCAGCCAGCATTAAAGTGTCGTCAACGTAGCAGATGACAATGCAGCCGGGAGGCAGGGTGGTTCGGAGAACCTGGTCATACGCGATGTTCTATAGCAGGGGGCCAAAA